TGTTTGTTCTCATATATAAATTAATATTTGCAGGCGATGAGTCACAATAACGTGGCTAAAGTATGTTGACCAGACCACACACTAGAAGGTGAAGGGACGACGACGTTTCGGTATGTCCTGGACGATTCTCAAGTCGATTAATATTTATTATACATAAAAATTCTATGAATAGTTAGGCTTAGGTTAGGTGTTTAGGCTCTGTTGGCGATTATGTGTATTTGTAGTACGTGGGTGAAGCATTTACAGCGTTGTGGTTCGAACAAAATTTGTCAGTGAAGCACTTGTTCCGGAAGTGTTCGAACGTCATCAGTTGTGAGTCGTGTGTAAACCGTTTTTCATTCATAAACAGCGGGTTTGGCGGCTGGATTAACGAGCTTGGATCTTTGTTTTCGAGAACGGGCTGTGAAGCAGACTGGCGAGTGCTGAAGCCAGGGGTAACTGCTGAAGCCGGATGTTTCTCAAACTTCCGTTGTTGCCCTCCTGTTCTGTTGGTTACGAATCATTGCAAATGTAGGGCGAGCAGTTCGTTCCTGCTTTTCTTGACAGCTCTTGCACCGTGAACTCCAACGGATACGCCAAATAATTGTAAATAATGATTACGGTAATACCGACTTGACGAGGCTATTAGTAAGACTCACCCGCCACTATACTGGGAATACTCCGTCCCCAGACGAAGACATTGCGATGTGCTCTAAGAATACGTCTACCCAGACCTATAGAAATATGAAAAAACTGAAAACTTTACAATTAAAACACTTCTGTTTGTCCAAACATTTACTATAACGACCCTTGTACAGCTTCCCTTATTATGAAAAAAAAATCACCACCTCTGACGAGCTTAGAAGTGTGCTAATGTTGTTTGTGGATACAAATGCACCTCTAGGGTCAGATTCACGAAGCAGTCACGCAAGCACTTACGAACGTGTACATCTTTCCTCAATCTTTGACGGCTTTGGTTACATTCGGTTACATTTGGTTACATACAACTTTGTTTTAGCTTCACAACGCCTCACAGCTGGGTGGACAGCGCTTCGGATTCGTAGTTCTTAGGTTCCGGGTTCGATCCCCGGTTGAGGCGGAGACAAATGGGCAAAATATTTTTCACCCTACTGCCCCTGTTACCAAGCAGTAAATAGGTACCTGGGAGTTAGACAGCTGCTACGGGCTGCTTCCTGGGGGGGGGGGGTGTAACAAAAAGGAGGCCTAGTCGAGGACCGGGCCGCGGGGACGCTAAGCCCCGAAATCATCTCAAGATAACTTCAAGATAGCTTTGGGGATAAATATCTGGGTCATTCCAGGACCACATCTTGAAACATAAATATTTTTGACAGTTTAACTTCAAGTAACACTAAATAAACAGTTTTGGGTGAGGGGGGAACTAAATAAAATTCTAATGAAATTGGGAGAGTCAAAATTGTAAAAAGTCGGATGACAGACTAGAGTTGTGGCTGCAGGGATTGTTGGCTCTGAGGTCAGGTGGCAGTGGGTACTGTGACGGACAGGTGTGTGTGTGTGTGTGTGTGTGTGTGTGTGTGTGTGTGTGTGTGTGTGTGTGTGTGTGTGTGTGTGTGTGTGTGTGTGTGTGGGGACGAGCAGGGCAGCTGTTGTGGGTGGGAAGCCTTCGCTGTGGCGGTCGAGGAGACTTGTGGTGCTACACGAGAGGACGGCTGTGGCCTCATTAAGACCAAGTACTTCCGTTATTTCTGCCTTATGCTAGCATGTATCTCATATTATATAGATTTATTTGGATGTGTTAGAACAGTGAAACCTAATAAAATGTGCATTTATATTGAATGTTTTTGACAAAACTGTTTTCATTTAGTGACCAAAATTTTTAATTAAACCACACACACACACACACACACACTAGGCCTGGTAGCTGAGTGGAAAAGCGCACAGGACTCGTAATTCTGTGGCTCGGGTTCGATTCCCGGACCAGGCAGAATTAACATCTGCTGATGTATATTTGAGTAAATGTAAACTCTGTCAGCAGAACTATTCGCATACTTTCCGCCATTATATAATGGAATGTGAAAAAATCGCGGAATTTAGAGATAAGACCATCAATGGTGTCCAAGAAATGTGTAAGTACTTCATTCATAATGATGGGCTGCCCGAAATCTTAGCGAAGTATCCAAAATTTGCTTACTGAAGGTAATGCATGCACATGACTGTAAAGCTGCCGCCCAGTTGGGTGGGTGTGGAGCAAGACTAGTAACTGTGTGACTCACCATAGATGTAAAGTGCCTTGTATAGTGACTGTTGTGAGCCTCTTGTTGAATCACTTGTGACACAAAAGATTAGTGATGTGTGTATTTGTGTAGGTGATTAAATATGTATGTGAATGTATATATGTATATGTATATATATGTACATGTATGTATGAGTATATGTACATGTATATATATAACATTAATAATTGTGTAACTAGCGTCAAAATTTTTTATTTGGTTAGCTAAACGAACTAGAGGGTTCAGTTCCTGAAACGATTATGTGCCTCTGTAATCCTTTACACCACCGCCCACGGGATGGGTATGGGGTGCATAATAAAGAAAGATATTGTATTGATGAATCCTGACCACCGTTTATCTAAAAAAAATTTAGACAGGTCTTGCTCGATGCTCAAGATCTTTCAGGAGTCTAAAGTATGTAAACTTTGTATCTCTCTCTCTCTCTCTCTCTCTCTTGTCTATTGAATTCTTTCTGGTTAGTCATGCGGGGTTTTAATTGAGGGAACCCATGCTGGGGTTAGGCTACGACTTCTCTCTAGATGTTCCATTGTTATCGTATGTTTTCCATGTGTGTATGAGCGTGTAGCCTACTGTTTACAATATTAACACACACACACCTATAACACACACACACACACACACACACACACATTGAGATATTAGTCATTGCATTAATCTAAGAACGTTTGGAAGGCGAAGCTTGCTGGACCCTGCAAGTAGCTCTTGAGTGAAGTGCGTGTAGGTGAGCACAGTGGAGGTGGACGGGTGCAGGAGGCAATAAGTCTGGCGGCGGGGGCTACCAACATCACCGTCACCTCATCTTTTCCATCGTTTTTCCGCCGCCGCCTCGGGATTTCACACTCGGACGCGTCATGATTTGTGGCCCGCCGCCGCCACCCATGTTTTACCCGCGCTGCGGACAAGCCCAGTTGGCCGCCAGGTCCCGCTCACACTGGCGGCCAGTATTTATACACTAGACAGGCCTTCCCGGATGTATGGAGCTATACAACCTGAGAGCTTCCGATAAATCTGGAGCTACTGAACGTGAGAGCTTCCAAGAGATCTGGAGCTACTGAACGTGAGAGCTTCCAAGAGATCTGGAGCTACTGAACGTGAGAGCTTCCAAGAGATCTGGAGCTACTGAACGTGAGAGCTTCCAAGAGATCTGGAGCTACTGAACGTGAGAGCTTCCAAGAGATCTGGGGAATTATGTGTTTTTGGAAGAGTCGCCTGGATATTTCACCGCCTGTCTTCCTATTATAAACTATATCTTATATAGCTCGGGTGTGAACACGTGACCGTGGGGTGTGGGGTGAGGGTGGGGGGAGAAACAGGTGTGAACATGGGGAGTGACTGTGGGGTTAGGGGAGGGAAGGTACATGGTAGCAAGTATTAACGATAGTGTTGGCGGTCACTTCCATCACCCGCCGCCCCTGTCATTTGGCCTCCTATATCCTAATGCTTCACGACCTCTCCTTCCTTCCCTCTCCTTCCTAGGGAGCCGGTCGGCCGAGCGGACAGCACGCTGGACTTGTAATCCTGTGGTCCTGGGTTCGATCCTTGGGCAGAGTTTCTTTCACCCTATGCCCCTGTTACCTAGCAGTAAAAATAGGTACCTGGGTGTTAGTCAGCTGTCACGGGCTGCTTCCTGGGGGTGGAGGCCTGGTCGAGGACCGGGCCGCGGGGACACTAAAAAGCCCCGAAATCATCTCAAGATAACCCTCCAGCCCTTCCCTCCACACACTCAGCAACACAGGCACTCATTCTCTGCTACACACTTTGCCAGCGTCAAGTTCAAGATGTCCCTCCCCCCCCTTTCCTACCCTAATCAGATCGTTCTCATGCGGCTCGAACGTCAACCGTTTTCTGATTGAAAAGTTGTATGATTGTATCATTCTTTCCCATAGTCGAGGGGAAGGAAGCCTGTCCCGCTAGGTCAGGTCAACTACTGATGACCTTCTTGATGAAACCCGCAGCAGTTGCCTAAGTCTCGGGTACTTATTTACTGCTTGGCGAATATGGGTATAAGGTGAAAGGAAATGTTGCCCAGCCGTCTCCGTCCCGTTCTGGGATCGTTATCACTGGATTGGTTGGGTTAAGGTGAGTTTAAGTAGTGTTTGGCTGGGTTGGGCTTGGGTGAGTTATGTGATGTTAAGGTGAGTTGGGTTAGGGTGTGTTAGGTGTTGGTTGGGTAGTTTGGGTTAGGATCCTTAATCAGGACCAGCTATAACCCTCCCTTAATCAGGACTACCTATAACCCTCCCTTAATCAGGACCACCTATAACCCTCCCTTAATCAGGACCACCTATAACCCTCCCTTAATCAGGACGACTTATAACCTAAATAATTGGAAACAAAGCCGCCAAAGATTGAGAAAAGATGTACAGGTTCGCAAGTGCTTGCGTAAGTGCTTGCGTAAGTGCTTTCGTGAATCTGGCCCCTGATCTCACTGTCCACTTATACCCCCCCTGTATGGGCTCCTGTGAGTGTCAACACTGCATGTTCTCCGAGGACCCGTTTATGGACGGAACTTTGTTTCTCGCCTTTTGCGGGCTCACCATAGCCCGTGCTACTTGGAACCTTTGTTCCAGCTAGCAAATCTTAAACAACAACAAATTCTCGCCTGTGTTTTTAGTCCTCTTTTTATGTTGGCAAAGATAAATGAAGTTACTCTGATGCATTTTGACTGGGAGGGTTTGTGGGAAGATCTGTTATAATGTATATAATGGTATAATATGTTATAATGTTTGTTGATCTGTTATAATGCTGTTACTGGTGCTCCAGGTACTGGTGCTCCAGGTACTGGTGCTCCAGGTACTGGTGCTCCAGGTACTGGGGCTCCAGGTACTGGTGCTCCAGGTACTGGTGCTCCAGGTACTGGGGCTCCAGGTACTGGTGCTCCAGGTACTGGTGCTCCAGGTACTGGTGCTCCAGGTACTGGGGCTCCAGGTACTGGGGCTCCAGGTACTGGGGCTCCAGGTACTGGTGCTCCAGGTACTGGTGCTCCAGGTACTGGTGCTCCAGGTACTGGTGCTCCAGGTACTGGTGCTCCAGGTACTGGTGCTCCAGGTACTGGTGCTCCAGGTACTGGGGCTCCAGGTACTGGTGCTCCAGGTACTGGTGCTCCAGGTACTGGTGCTCCAGGTACTGGGGCTCCAGGTACTGGGGCTCCAGGTACTGGGGCTCCAGGTACTGGTGCTCCAGGTACTGGTGCTCCAGGTACTGGGGCTCCAGGTACTGGGGCTCCAGGTACTGGGGCTCCAGGTACTGGGGCTCCAGGTACTGGTGCTCCAGGTACTGGGGCTCCAGGTACTGGTGCTCCAGGTACTGGGGCTCCAGGTACTGGGGCTCCAGGTACTGGGGCTCCAGGTACTGGTGCTCCAGGTACTGGTGCTCCAGGTACTGGGGCTCCAGGTACTGGTGCTCCAGGTACTGGTGCTCCAGGTACTGGTGCTCCAGGTACTGGTGCTCCAGGTACTGGGGCTCCAGGTACTGGTGCTCCAGGTACTGGTGCTCCAGGTACTGGTGCTCCAGGTACTGGGGCTCCAGGTACTGGTGCTCCAGGTACTGGTGCTCCAGGTACTGGGGCTCCAGGTACTGGTGCTCCAGGTACTGGTGCTCCAGGTACTGGGGCTCCAGGTACTGGTGCTCCAGGTACTGGTGCTCCAGGTACTGGGGCTCCAGGTACTGGTGCTCCAGGTACTGGTGCTCCAGGTACTGGTGCTCCAGGTACTGGGGCTCCAGGTACTGGGGCTCCAGGTACTGGTGCTCCAGGTACTGGGGCTCCAGGTACTGGTGCTCCAGGTACTGGTGCTCCAGGTACTGGGGCTCCAGGTACTGGGGCTCCAGGTACTGGTGCTCCAGGTACTGGTGCTCCAGGTACTGGGGCTCCAGGTACTGGTGCTCCAGGTACTGGTGCTCCAGGTACTGGTGCTCCAGGTACTGGGGCTCCAGGTACTGGTGCTCCAGGTACTGGGGCTCCAGGTACTGGTGCTCCAGGTACTGGGGCTCCAGGTACTGGTGCTCCAGGTACTGGTGAAGAATGTTGGCATGCAGGATGGTTCCTACAGTATTATACACATTAAACACTCGAGGGGTCGACTCGAACCTCCGGCCAAGATTAATGGTCATAATGAGTGCTGGGGTGCCAGGTGTTGCTTCCCACCTCCCCCCCCCACACACCCCCCAGTTCCCTCCGCCTTGCTTCCCCCTCTCCTCTTACCCCCCCCCCTTCCACCTTCCCTCCCCACGGTCCCCCCCCTGCTTTCTACCTTATTCCCTCTCCCCTTCCCCGGATTACGAGTTAAGGACGTAGGTCATGCGCTACAGGATCCCATACAAGACCACGGGAGCGCTGTGGTGTCAGATCCAGTCGCTTCTCCTTTTCTTCCAACTCTCCCTGGACCTGAAGAACCACACTGGACTTAACTACTAAACCCAAATCTAACCTAACCGGAATATCGTATGCATTTTGGGTTATGTTGTTGGGTTGCAGTATTCGTGAAGCATTTACGCTACCACTTACGAAACCTGTGCATCTTTTATGGATCTTGGCTGCTTTATATACATTTACTAAACAGTTTTTGAGCACCGAACCACTACGAGGTTGTAAAGTTTCGAAGCTCTTAAAGTGTTCATTAAATGCAAACGAAGCCGCCAGGATTAAGGAAAGATGTACAGGTTTCGTAAGTGGTTGTGTTAATGAATTTGGGTCGTGTCCGCTTCGTTTAGGCCTCAGCGGTATCTTGTATGTTGTGATCATATCACCCCTGTCGCCCTGGAAAATTGTCCCCCTCCTCATCCTCAGGGGGAAGAAGTGAAGGGGGGAGACCGCCCCCCCCATACACCCCGAGAGGTGCGGGGGTCTTAAAAATTCCAAATTTTCTCCTTAAATGTGTGAAACCATCCTGAGGGACTGTTGACATCGTAAGAAATGTGGTCTACCTTGATGTCTGTGAACTTAATTAATAAATGTTGATCATCTCTAGAGGTATTGATCCTCTTGAGATGTGTCGATCCTCTTGTGGGATGTGGAGCCTCCCACTACACCTTTCCATGAGAAGAGTTGAACTTTTGTTTTTTTATTTTTTTTATTTCTGCCTCGTGGGAGGTGTGGCTGCTGCTCTTCTTCGAGGCGGTTAAGTGTCCGGGAACAGCAACTCTCCTCTGCCAGATCTCTGTTTTCTCCTCTGCTGTATTTCCAATATATTTTGAGCAACAGAAACACTTTTTCAAGACATAGCGTACGAGGAGTAGAAGCGAGAGGAAAAATAGAGAAAACGAGGACTAGAAGAGAGTAGTGTATGTAGAGGAGCAGGACAGGTATAACTTAAATAAAGGAGAGAAGGAATGAGCAAGGTAAGGAGGAGGAGGAGGAGTGTGAGAAGTGTGGGAAAGCTGGAGGTGTGGCACAAGACCGGATGGTGTGGCTGGCGGAGGAGCCACACTCTCACACTGGATAAATGACAGGAAGAACAACAACGCCAGAAACGCAATTTAATATGAGATTTTGCCCAGTGTTTTCTAAGAGCTTCTACGTGGTGGGAGTCTGAAACGACCGAGGAGAGAGAGAGAGAGAGAGAGAGAGAGAGAGAGAGAGCGAGCGTGAGTGCTTGCGTGTATATTTAATATTTGTATCTGCAGGATCGAGCATATTAGCTCTTGGACCAATTATAATTAGAGCTACTTATAGTAGCTCTAACCATTATATTTTTCCTCTATTATGTCTACTACATATATTTCTCTCTAACACACACACACATACACATCCCAGGAAGCAGCCCGTAGCAACTGTCTAACTCCCAGGTACCTGTTTACTGTTAGGTGAACAGGCGCATCACGGTGAAAGAAACGCTGCCCATTTGTTTCCACCTCCGCCGGGGATCGAACCCGGACCCTTAGGACTACGATCCCAAGCGCTGTTCACTCAGCCTTTAGACCCCCCTGCGTGTGTGTGTGTACTCACCTAGTTGTGCTTACAGGGGTTGAGCTTTGGCTCTTTGGTCCAGCCTCGCAACCGTCAATCAAATGGTATACAGATTCCTGAACTTCTCAAGCTCCATCATATCTACATTTGAAACTGTGTATGGAATCAGCCTCCACCACATCACTTCCTAGTACATTCCATTTATTAACTACTCTGACACTGAAAAAAAGTTCTTTATAATGTCTCTGTGGCTCTTTTGTGTACTCAGCTTCCACCTTGTCCCCTGTGTCCCCTTGTGCGTGTACCACCCGTGTTAAATAATATATCCTTGTCTACCAGTCAATTTTGTATGTGGTGATCATGTCTCCCCGAGCTCTTCTGTCTTTCAGCGACTTGTGTGTTTGTGGGCACACACATGCGCGTCCCTGAATCCCACCTCACACTTACCCTGCCAGGGGCAATTAATTCACCAGAAGCACTAGTATTTCTCCCATATGTCAGCCCCCCTTGACCTACGGTGCCATTACTGACTTCCGCCGCCCTGCCATTTGTAGGCGTCAGCCCGCGAGTGTTGCCTCGCTGAGCTACTCGCTACCTCTGCTTTATTAACCCATTTAACGTCATGATTTACTATGCACTTTAGCGGCCTGGGGATTGGCGTGTCCCTTCCTGACATATGTTGGACGACATTCACCCCCTCACTCACAATCCCCCCTCATGTCTAGCCCCCGACACTCAGCCCCCAACCTCACCCCTCCCTCCCTCCTCTCATCACACACAACCAGTTATTACCTGGAATAGCTTGCTTCCAATTCTCTGGGCTCCTGCCATAACTCGGGTTGTGGTGTCGCTTCAATTGTAGCGCCTCTCGCTATATAAACGGTGCATCCCTCTCTTTATCCCCCTCACGCTCTCCCGCCATTATATGCCCTGCCAGTGATATCAATTTAGCACACTGGAGGTCCGTCTCCCAGCTTGTCATGTTCGCCTCCAGCTTGTCATGTTCGCTTCCAGCTTGTCATGTTCGCCTCCAGCTTGTCATGTTCGCTTCCAGCTTGTCATGTTCGCTTCCAGCTTGTCATGTTCGCCTCCAGCTTGTCATGTTCGTCTCCAGCTTGTCATGTTCGCCTCCAGCTTGTCATGTTCGTCTCCAGCTTGTCATGTTCGCCTCCAGCTTGTCATGTTCGCCTCCAGCTTGTCATGTTCGCCTCCAGCTTGTCATGTTCGCCTCCAGCTTGTCATGTTCGTCTCCAGCTTGTCATGTTCGCCTCCAGCTTGTCATGTTCGTCTCCAGCTTGTCATGTTCGCCTCCAGCTTGTCATGTTCGTCTCCAGCTTGTCATGTTCGCATCCAGCTTGTCATGTTCGCCTCCAGCTTGTCATGTTCGCCTCCAGCTTGTCATGTTCGCCTCGGACCGTATGTACCATTCATGTGAGGCCAACAACCTGTCCTCTTAAAAATAACGTCGCTTTTGGCCATTTGTCCGTATGGCCGAAAGTGGACGTAATTTGAAAATAAAAAAAAAATGAAAATAAATTTGGGATTTTTTTTTTCAACAACAGTAAGTTAAGGGTCCTTTGGTAGGTTAGGTGGGCAGGAAGTTCTCATAAAGTTTCAAAACAGTTATGAAAAACGTTAATTGAAAGTTTCCTCTCCTAACCTTTCCGAGTACGCCGGACGACTCAAACAGAAAACGGGACAGTACGTCACTTTCGTGAGCCGATTTCATTTCAAATTACGTTATTTTTAAGAGGACGGGTTGCCTCTCTACCACTCGTCTCTGACTGACTCTTGTCTTTGGCCCGGTTGCATTTGTAATTGCTACATTGATATTAAATTGTTTTAGTAATTTAGAAATTTAACTTAAGTTACCTTGAAATGTCAGAATTATTGTAATCTTAGTATTGAATTCTTTATTTTTCAAAGTAAAGAAAGCGTTACAAGCAATTTGGCTGGCTATCAATGAGTTAACTTTATCAATAAATGACAATAAATGACTAGCTTTATCAATAAAACCAGCCAAATTGCTTGTAACACTTTCTTTAGTTTGAAAAATAAAGTAGTACTCAATATTAAGAATACCATAATTTAACCATTTCATGATAATTTCAATTAAACTCCTAAATTACTAATATAATTTAATATCAATGAAGCATTTAGGAACCTTGATATCATAAAAAACACTAATTAAAAATTCCCCTGGTAGTTGCAATGGATTTGAGTGTGTGTAAAATTCCACGTAAATATTGCACTAAGTTCTATGTTGGCCAAACAGGTAAACATCTTGACCAGAGAATGAAAGAACAAATATAGAACACAGATCAAGAGTCCAATTTATTGTTCACTTAAGAGATTGTAATCTTTAAATTGACTTAATTTAATTCATACAAAATTGAGGAATGTAAATCAGTTACTGAAAGAAATATTATTGACACTTTTCATTGATAAAAAGTAGTGAATTAGATAATATTAATGTAAATCTAGGATTATATAAATTTAGATCATTTTATAATTGGTGAGCTTTGTGATAGTTATACAGTTATGTAAAGTATAATTGTATGTGTAGTACATACAAGAGAGAGCTGGATAAGCATCTCCAAAGGATACCTTATCAACCAGGCTGTGACTCATACGTCAGGCTGCGAGCAGCCGCGTCCAACAGCCTGGTTGATCAGTCCAGCAACCAGGAGGCCTGGTCGACGACCGGGCCGCGGGGACGCTAAGCCCCGGAAGCACCTCAAGGTAAGGTACATTCGAAGATTGAGGGAATACCCAGTTAATCATCTCACTTTCATGTCGCTTCCATTCTTCGATATTTTGTGTATTGATCCTTAGATGTAGTGTGGTATATTGTTGACCAAACCACACACCAGAAAGTGAAGGGACGACGACGTTTCGGTCCGTCCTGGACCATTCTCAAGTCGATTGTGAATGGCCCAGGACGGACCAAAACGTCGTCGTCCCTTCACTTTCTAATGTGTGGTCTGGTCAACATATTTCAGCCACGTTATTGTGATTCCTCGTCTGCATAGTGCGGTATATAATCCCAAACCCGTGTCGTCACTGTCTGAATTCCTTGATAATGTGTTGAAACACGAAAACGTTCGGAATTTGCGTTTCATTTTCCTAAGTGGATACTTATGCATAACCGAATTACGTTTTTTGTGTGATTCGGTATATTTAGAGAGTTACTTATTTAGAGTTA